GGTGCCCGGTGACGGGTTTGCCCCAAGCCAAGATCCCTCCTTATCTCGCGCGGGGCCGACCCTGCGCCCGGGTTCGTTTGCGCAGCCCTGGCCGGTGCCGCTCGTTTGAGTTCGTTCTCCCGCTCCTAACGCCGAAATGCAGCCGAGGGGCCGGGCAGCTTCCCTGGATGCAGAGCAGGAGGGAACAACCTCCTGTTTGGCCAAACAAGTGGAGCATCCGCGTGTCGGGTACTCAGAGCTGGGTTGTGGCAGGGTCCTCTTGGAAAAGACATAGAAAAAGGTTGAGGAATCAGGTCTGGAGTTTTCCCTTCAACTCTAAAATAAGAGTGTTTTCCTGTTAGAATAACTTCTTGGATGTCCTGTCTCAAAAACAGCTTTTTGGTGTCTTTTGGAGAATGCAGTTTTTATCCTCTTGAATTTTTTCGACCAGGGGATTAGTAACAAAACTCCAGGCTCTTTTACTCTAAAGCGTTGCTCGGTTTCCTGCTGTTAATATGTAAATAATCGGGTGTTTCACTTCCTTCGTGCCTGACCACCAAGACTTCCAGATCTCATCTGGGGCTGTGACAAGCAAAGGGGGCACCTGCCCGTGGGGTATTTGCCCCATAGCAGCGCTTAGCTGGGTGGCCTTGAGCACCGCGTGCAGGTCCCAAGCTCCTTCATCGATTGCAGGGGGCTCCGCTTCCTCCTCGCTCTCAAGGTACTAATTACAACTAATTACAACTCCCGTAACTTGCTCACATGCATCCATGGGTTAAACCGGCCCGTTAGGTCGTGCCTCTCGCAGGGCACGACCCGGTCCCGGCGCCGCAGCGCCCAGGCCCGAGACATGTCTCGCTCTGCCCTTCTCGGGGCCTCGGAAGCGGCATTGGTCCCGCATTGGAAAACGCTGCCCGAGGAGCGGGACACGTTTGTGCCGCGCGGATTCGCGGCTGTGGTTGTTGTTTCCAGACATCCCGAGCTCTGCTGCTTTGCCCCCTCGTCCTGCTCCGGCTGTAGCTGCAGGTGGAGAGGCTGCCCCGGCCCCGCGGGTTTCCCTAAACGCTTTTCCTGCATTAATGATTTAATGATTTTCCTCCAGCCCTCGCGGAGGTGGGAGGGTGTTTGAGGGCGTTGAGCCCCAAACCGGCACACCTGGATTCGGAGCCCGAGCCTCGTCCGTGCGGAGGCACCGGGCCTCTCGTTCCGAGCGGGGCTGTGGGAGGAGATAATTACAGCTAAGGATATTGTGGCGAAGGGACTGGAAATTGCAGTGTAAAATAGACAAATTCTTGCACGAGGCCGTGCTGGGTGAAGCTGCTGGAGCTGCAGCCCGTGGCTGCGGGGCCGGCGCGGAGCAGCCGGGGGTTCCGGCACTGCGGAGCAGCGCCTCTGAGCGAGGCTGGAATGTGCCCACCGGCTCCGCGCTGCGTTCCCGTGGCCCTTCCTTGGCTTGGGAGCGAAACCTGGCTCGTCTGCCCGTGCGCTTGTGCCAGCACCTGGGCAGCCCCTGGCTCTACTCGCGTGGCGGTGGCCGTGGCTGGGGTGCTGCGAGGGGGCCTGTCTGTGCCGTGTGCTCCTGTGTACTCTCCATGCGCTCCCATGCGCTCTTCATGTGCTCTCCGTGTCCTCTCCGTGCGTTCCCATTCACCCTCCATATGCTCTCCCGTGCGCTCTCCGTGCTCTCCCATGTGCTCTCCGTGCACTCCCATGCGCTCTTCATGTGCTCTCCGTGTCCTCTCCGTACGCTCCCATTCACACTCCATATGCTCTCCCATGCGCTCTCCGTGCACTCCCGTGCGCTCTCCGTGTGCTCTCCGTGTTCTTTCTATGCTCTGCCATGTGCTCTCTGTGTCCTCTCCGTGCACTCCCATGCACTCTCCCTATGCGCCCCGTGTCCTCTCCGTGTTCTCCCGTATGCTCTCTGTGTCCTCTCCGTGCGGTCCCATGCACTCTCCATGTGCTCTCCGTGTCCTCTCTGTGCTCTTCCATGCACTCTCCGCGTGCTCTCCGTGCTTTGTCCATGCGCTCTCCGTGCGATGCCGGAGTGGGGCCGGCTTTCGGAGGTGCCCCGGGAAAGCCCCACACATCCCTATTCCTGGGATGACCCTAGTTCCCTGCTGGACAGCAGGACGTGTTCAGCAGTGGCAATAAAGGGAGTTGGAGCCGGACGAGTTTTCCCTGGCACCTTGTCCAGGCAAATAGTGTGCAGCTCTTGAGCCGAACAGCAAGGGACAAATGGGGCAACTGGGGACCTTGCCAAGGGAGGCGCCATGGGTGAAGTGTCCTCCTCGTCTCGCACAACAGACTTGGCAAAACGTGGTGTTGGGAGCTCTCTGCCTGGCTCCCTGCGTTGGGCCTTTGGAGGGGCCTCGTCCGGCGGCGGCTCCGTCCCGTCCCGGCTCCCTGGAGCTTTCAGCACCCCCCGTTTTGTCCTCCCCGCGTCTCCCTGTGCGGTTCCTGCTCCAGAGCCGCTGCCTCCTCCCGCGGGGCCTCCCCAGGCTGCTGCTCCTCACCCTCTGCCAGCCAACGCAGCAGCCTCGTCTTCCCTCAAGGGACCTTTCCATTCCATAACGCTCTGCAGCAGCATCCCCGGATCACCGGAACGATGCTTTTGGCAGCCTGGAAAAACCCGATTCCGTACCAAAGCGCCGTCCTGCCCTCTGGAATTCCCAGAGGTGCAGCCAGGAGGAGCCGGGCGACGGCCGGCGCGTGAGGCCACAGGCTCCGCGTGGGCTCCGTAGCCTCAACCCCTTCCCGTGCGGGGCCAGGGCAGAGCCGCAGGGCTCCGTCCGGGGCCCCGGCCCCTCCGCTTGGTGCCCACGGGAACCAGGAACCCGGGGACATGCGCAAAGATCCGGGGCGCTTTGCGGCGAGAGGACGGGATGGTGGCGTCACTGCAGCCCGTGTGGCGCCTTCCGCGCTGGCTTGGCCTGGGAGT